TTCGTCAAAACTACGTTAGAAGAAATTTCTTCTTAAGAACGGTTGGTGAATGAGGCCCAATTGTTTTATATAGAACCATGAACACTCAAACAACCATCTGCATGCTTAAAGGGTTCTCTGCATGATGAAATGGCTCTTCAGATTGGTGGAGAATGTGTTGTACATGTTTCTATATAGCACCAAAGAGGGTTCTGCTGTTAACATGTCAAGCTTGTAACACTGATTTAGAATGTGTTGTATATGGTTCTATATATCACCACAAAGGGGTCTGCTGTTAACATTGTAACATTAAAGCTTGTAACATTATTTATATTGTTTCAAGCTTGACATGTTAACAGCAGAACCCTTTGTGGTGCTATGTAGAACCAATAACAACACATTCAACAGCCTTTTCAAAAATATTCCATACACAAAACATTCTCCATCAATCTGAAGAACGATTTCACCACACAAAGCCACGCAAGCGGTTCTTTGAGTGTTCGTGGTTCTATATGGAGCCATCGTCATCACTAAACTAAACATCTTTTTTATGAGTGTAGATTTCTAAACTACTGCAATTTGTTATGAATACAAGCATCTTGTATAAAAGTTTGAAAAGTATCGCACAAACAACCTGAGAGAACCCTCCCTGTTCTCCCATGCTTTTCAAATTCTTTAGCAAAAAATAAAAAATGCAGTGCCCCGCTCTCCTCTGTATACGCAGAAAGCAGAAGTAGAGAGGGTAGATAATGATTTTGTCCCTGAGAGCACTTGTCAGCAGGAAATTCATCGTTTACCCTTCTGGGACTGTTTAATTCTGACTCACACAGAAGGCACTACCAGCCTTCCTTCCTGGTAAAGACACACATACACAGATAGAGAGAGAGAGAGAGAGAGAGAGAGAGATACAAAGGTGCCCAACGATCATGTTACAGGAAACCCCCCCCCCTCCCAGAGGGACAGAGAAAAAGACAAAAAGTAAGAAAGAGATAAGACTAAAAGGGAACAGAGAGAATCTGGCTCATCCTCCCCTCCCTCTCCCCCTCATACCTCACCCTACAGTGTTATTATTATTATTTTTCCCTCTTTTGTCGACAGTTTGGGGCTGAAGTAAGCGCCCTGTCTCCTGCGCCTTTGTTCGCCCGTTGTACATCTGTGATCAAGGGCTTCACGTTAACGTCTCCTTCGTTTGAAGTGGTTCGAGGGAGTGGAGGAGAGGGGTGATAAAAAGAAGGCGGGAGGTGAGGTTCAAAAAAATGACTATTTACCCATCAACAGATGGGCCTAAATCGCTAACAGCAGGTCCACGAGGTGGGAGAGCAGTTAGCCGTGCCCAGAGAAAACCGAGAGCGACTGCCAGGGCTGTTAAACAAACAGATGCTGAGGACGCTAGAAGTTCTGCCCACTGTTTGAACGTAGAAGAGAAAGCGTGATTAGCGATCCGACACATGGGAGCAGCAACACAAACAACACGGCGATAAAAATGACGCAGAGATTTACGCACACAACAATAACAGCGCCGCCACGGTGTCTCTGTGAAGACCTAATCATGAAGAATGCCTGAGGAGGTCAGGAAAGAAGAAGAGGAACAGGAGGGGAGCTCGTTCTGCAAGAGCAAATGCATCAGGCATGGGTGTGATGCATCATATGCTCAGCATTGCTGTTCCTCATTTGAAGCTTCAAGTTATTCCCATGATCTGGCTTCAATACATGACAAGAAAATGTGTTTTTTACATAGAAAGCTCTTTACAGTGTAGGTACAACGTTTCAACAGCTACATTGCTAAGCAATACGAGTTGGAGAAGCTATGTTGTAAGTAAGGATTAACGCAATAATGCCACTCATTTCCGTGCTAGTTTGACCCTCGACCCGTCTGCAGTTGTGCAGGCTGAAGCCCAGCTGTATGTCGCTCTGATAGACTCTGTGATTGTAGAGCTCTCATTCAAATACAGCTTTTAAATACATTGTAAAGCGAAACCTTCAGCACCTTCAGCAGACCACGCTGGACAGATGCTCATAGGAGATTTATGGATGAATCAACAAGCAGCAAACTAACAAAAGCAGATGCTTGGTGGAGCTCCGGTTCCCTTCGAGAACCTCCACTGAAACAAGAACCCACAAGCTGTATGAACAAAATGGAGAGGATACAACCACAGAGGAGCTGAACCACTGACTGTATATATGATAGATAAGATATAAACTCTCATTGACTGTATGTATATGATATATACACTCATGGACTGTATACATAATATATATGATTTGTATACTCCTTATATATATATATATATATATATATATATATATATATATATATATATATATATATATAAATGGAAACAAAATCTTTCTTAAAGATTAAATTTAAGCAAGACTAAATAACTACACTAAATCGCGATTAACTACACAAAAATAATATGGTTAATTGCGATTGACTACACAAAAATAGTATGATTAATCACGATTAACTGCACAAAAATAATGCGATTAATCACAATCAACTACTGAAGAATACTGTGATTAATCATGATTAACTACTGAAGAATACTGTGATTAACCAAGATTAACTACACAAATATAATATGATTAATTGTGACTAACTACACAAAAATAACACAATTAATCATTACTAACTGCACAGAATGTGATTAATCATGATTAGCTTTGGAAAATGTAATTAATCACGATTAACCGTATAATGTGATTAATCATGACTCAATCATTTGACAGCCCTTGTGAATGTAAGCTGAATGTTTTCTAAGCATAATGATCAGCTCAGTTTTACTCCATACCAACATGTCAAGCTTACGACTTCTAGAAAAGTGTTGCCTCATCTGATCAGTGAATATACAGAATGGAGCTCAGCTCTCTTCCTGCAGTCCAGAACAGTTTGCTAAAGGTGTTTCCTTGCTCAAACAGATCTTATTCAGATCTGTTCATTTCCAGGAAATCCACCAAACTGTGCTGAAATCTGGCTCTCCTAGACTGGAGTTTGTCAGCCCTGCTGTACAAACATAGGCAAGATATACAGAGGAAAATAAGAGAATTCTAGGTGTAGTGAGCTAAAAACGTCGGTATGGAGTCCTGGATAAATGAGCAAGTGGACTGGCTTGTTCTTATCTCCTTTAGGCATCTCTTCCTAATTGCAGTGTTGAGATGTCCTTAAATACCCCCAAACATTCACACATATCCTGCCTTCCCTTCATTTTTACCATCAGCGGTCATTCCTAGTGAGCTCTACCCCCTCATTTTGTTCTCTGTAAAGAATTTACACATGGCTCTCACCGTTCCAGACAATGTGGAAAGGCGCTTTAGGAGCTCAGCCCAGTTCCATCCAATTCAGCAACTTATACCACTGGTTTACTTCTTAACCATGTAGCAATACCAAAGAGAGCACCGCGATACCGACACGTTTCCATCTGCTTCAGCACATTAAAAGAAGATTTTTTCCCAATGTCTGTGAGAAAATTGGACATATAGTTCTTGAAATGTTCCTTAGTAAAGAAAACTGGTTCTATACAGAACAGTGTGAACACTAAAAGAACCCCTTGCATGATTAAAGAATTGATTGCATTATAAAATTGTTCTTCAGATTGATGGAGAATGTGCTATAGGCGGTTCTATATAGAAACGTTTTTGAAAAGGGTTTTATATAGCGTCAAAAAGGGTTCTGCTATTTTTACAAGCTTAATATTGTAGCAAGAAAGTAACATTTGTGGTGCTATACGGAACCATGTACAACACATTCTCCATTAATCTGAAGAACCATTTCACCGTGCGAAGAACCTTTAAGCACGCAAATGGTTCTTTGAGTGCTCATGGTTGGACATATGGTTCTTGAAGGGTTCTTTAGTGAAACAAATAGGTCCTATATAGAACAGTGAACACCAAAAGAACCCTTTGCATGATTAAATGGTTCCTTGCAACATGAAACGGTTCTTCAGATTGGTGGAGATTGTGTTCTAGATGGTTCTATACAGAAACCTTTTGAAAAGGGTTCTATATAGCACCAAAAAGGGTTCTACATTTAGCTTGATATGGTAACAATAAAAGAACCATTTGTCGTGCTGTATAGAACCATGTACAACACATTCTCCATCAATCTGAAGAACCATTTACCATGCGAAGGACTTTGAGTTTGAGCTTGAGTTCTATATAGAACCATTTTCTTCTTTTTCCATCTTTTTTAAGAGTGAACATTATGAAACTGTGGTATCCATATTTCATATGTAAGAATAGATTAGCAATTTATACATTCTATAAATGTTTATGTATCAGCTTTGATAGACAAGTACATGAAATATATACACTACATCTCTTCAAATCAAGTATGATCAGTCCTTTTTAATTGGTTCAGCATCTAAGATGAAATTATGTCATAATAATAACTGTGATTCAGATTCAGATTGCAATGCCATAAACTAGACAACTAAACTTAAAACACTTCATTTACAGTTTATAGTATTTCGGGAACAACACAAAGTTAGGAAATGCTAAAAATGTGGTTGTGTTATTAAAAAATAAGCTATCATTTTCTATTTATTACAAAAACACTATGAATAGCTGTTTAATTAGTGAGATTTAGTTGTTGTTTTTCAAATATGAGGCGTTGAGGGTGTCAGTTTTTTATCAGTTCGTTCTCAGTGCTGTACATATTTCAGATATCTTGAAATCACTTACAGCTTCGTTTATCATCCGAAATGTCTTAATTTTCACAGCTTCCTACGAACTGTTTGAAACTTGAAGAAAAAACATTTATCGTAGAATCATTTCATGCATGTATCTTTAAAAATATTAGTTTTAATGAATGAAATTAGTGCCTCCAAACCTTTGAGTGGCAGTTGTGTTTTACATTTTTGCCATATATCACTTGTATTCTGAGACATTTAACACTCTTTTTGTGCTCATAAGGTAATCTCTGCACTTTCTGTGGTGAAACTTACAGATAATGTAAGCATCTCAACAGGAAGCATCAAGATTGAATGTACATAGACTTCCGCCTGTCTCTGCCGGGTACTTACTCCGCGTCATGGTGAACTTGTGCACCTCCTTGGCAAAGTACTCCTCCTCATCCTGGGTCAGATAGTCGAGATTCGTCTTGTTCTTCCACTCCTCGCTGAGCTCCAATGTGTTGTTGTACAGCGAAACGATGGCCTCGGGGATGTTCTTGTCCAAATCCCCCTCCTCAGGCTCAGGTTCCTTGGCCATGCGCAGCTTGCTGAGAATTTGGCCGCGGATGGCCTCGATACGCTTCTTCTTGACCACCTCTAGATCCAGGGTCTTACAGGTGGACATGCCGCCCACCACGGCTACCAGGCACAGAGCGGCTAGCGCTAGACACAAGAGTCTCATGTTGATCTGACTGATACCCAGATGTAGAAGAGGGTTGTTGTATAACTGTGACTGATGTCAGGTGTGATGGAAACCGTCAGGGTAGTGTTGCTTGGTCAGGAGATGCTACCTGATGTTGATAATAATATTGATGGTGGAAAGCACCTGGGGTAATGCAGCCAGAGGGGAATCCCAGCATGCAGCCACTCACCGTCTGCGCTCTGGCTCCTGAGTGGGAACGGAGTGTGTGCGCGAAGCTGACAAATGGAGCGGTCTGTTTCCCACACACCCACACTCTCTCAGAAGGTGGGCGCACGCAGAGCTCCAAGCACAGATCCAAATAAACACAGACGTGCACATACAAACTCACTCACAAGAGACACAAGCTCGACTGGCTAGCGTTCAGCTTTTCTCAGACTCTCCGTCTCTAAAGTGCTGTTTCAACAAGCTGGCAAGTGCACACAGACTCGCTTGTTCGGGTCCACGAGGTCTGGCTGAAACCTGAAGTTTCTCAGCCTGTGTTGGAGACCCTTGTCTCTGGTGAGAAAACAGCACGAGTCTGCTGTCCAAACACAAGAGCAAGCTTGTATGCGAGTTACAGCTTCTGGTCTCAAACTTTGCCCTTCCTTTCTGAACTGTTCCGCCTTGACAGGCCACTTGTCAGCTTTCCTCTGAGTTTTGCTGTCCCACAGATGTCTACCAAATCCTGTCTGATACAAAACGAGGGCTGTGTCCACCTCCTAAGAGCACAGGCTTTTCTCACCGAAGGTTGAGCACGATCAGATGACCCTTGGCTTCCTTTGCTGTTCCCCCGGCAGCTTTTGACACAGCCTGTTTGCAAAGGGGAAGAGAGAACATGAACAGTAATACTGAGCTGCTTGATGGCTAATGAAAGTCAGACTGTTCTGGAAGGACACAGAAGTCAGTCTGAAGTGTCAGTAAATGAGAGTGGACAGTACCTTTACCATGAGAGCCTTCCGAAGCAGCCAAGCCTTTAAGGCTGCATGCCACTATCCAGCAACACGCCCAGCACTCAGCAGCCCCGTAGGGCATGAAAAGCAAAGGATCCTCTTGGAAAACACCCTGTAGCTTTGCCTCAGTGTCAGCTGAGCCACGAGGTTTGGAGATATCGGAGTCGTAAACAAAGCAAATAATCTGAGGACAAGAGCCAGCGAACGAGTGTCAGATGAGAAAGCTGCGGCAGTAGCAACAGTGGGAGCAGGAGTTACAAGCGTAAGCCTGGGGATCAGGTTGCGTTCCCTTCTCTCCCTCTTTACCCTCTTCTCTCCGTCCACTTTTATGCACTTTGGCTCCCGGTGAAGCTCCCTTTACACCTCCTCTTGTGCTCCGTTCCTCGCTCGCTCGTTCTCTCTCACTCTCTGCTTCTCCCCCTCTGTCAGAGATCACTTTTTTCTTACTAGGTATGTCCCTCCTGCCCTCTCTCTCCCTCTCTCATTCTCTCTCTCCCTCTCTCTCTCTCTGCTTTGTCAGAGCTTGCCAGTGACAAAATGATTTGTGGAAGGCGTTCCACTGACTTCTCACTCTCTCGCTCTCTTTTACTCTCTGTTTTTTTCTTTTTCTTTTGGTTCCTGTTGCTGCACTAATAGAGCGGAGAGCGATCCGCCCAGGAAATGAGGCTAACGGACTCTGAGAAACATCTGCTCTTCACACAGCTCTGTACTGGCCAGGAAGCCCACAGCAAAGCAAAGCTTGTGACAGAATAAATGGGGCAATACATATCTAAGCCTCTCTCTCTCTCTCTCTCTCTCTCTCTCTCTCTCTCTTTCTCCTTCTCCCTCAAACTGTTTCTGTATTTCTCTTTTTTTATTTCTTTCTCTTTCCTGCTCTCTCTATCTGTCTCTTTTACACAATCACATACACTGTGTCAGATCTCTCTCTCTCTCTGTTTCTCTCTTCCTTTATCTATTTTCCTCTTTTTCTTGTCTCTCCTTTTTCTCTTTTGCTCTCTCTCTCTCTCTCTCTCCCTCTCTCTCTCTCTCTCTCTGTTTTTATTTCTCTATTTCTCTCACTCTCTCTTTCCCTCTCACTGTCTCTGGATCTCTTTCTCTTTCTCCCTCTCTTTCTGTCTATCATTTTTCTCTAATTCTGTTTCTTTCTTACTTTTGCTCTTCTTTTCTCTCTCTCTCTCTCTCTATATATATATATATATATATATTCCTCTTTTTACTCTCTCCTTTTTCTCTTACTCTGTTTCTTTCTCGCTTTCGCTGTTTCTCTCTTTCATTTCTATTTGTCTCTCTTTTCTGATTTTCTCTTTCTTTTGCTCTTTTTCTTTTCTCTATCTCTCTCTCTCTCTCTCTCTCTCTCTCTCTCTCTCCCTCTCTCTCTCTCTCTCTCTCTCTCTCTGTCTAACAGACAGGTAAATAGATAATGTTGTCTGGCCAAACTGACCACACAGGTTACTGACAAAGTGACACACTGAAAATGTGTTGATGGTGGACACAGGCCCCTCACCCCTGACACCCCCCCAAAGACCACTGTATTCTTCTGTTCTCGCAGATCTCCACAGGCTGAGTAATCTGTCATAAAAATATGTGAACAGTCACACTGTTTCACATTCGTCTGCAGCTGCACGGTGAAATGACTCGCAGGGTATCCTGCATGTTTCCACTGTCTTACAATAAGATCAGTCAGGTGCTTTGTTACCAATAGCATAACAGCTGGGGGAGCACAGGGGGCCCACATCAACCAGGCCCTTAAATTATTGCTGGGCCCCTAATATACAGTGGTTCCATAAAGTATTTAGACATTCCTGCCATGCTTACGTAACGAATGTGTGTATTTGTGTATGTACTTCTGAACAAAAAGTCAAAGCGGGTGTCGTTTATTTTAAACAGACTGTTCATTTTCTTTTTAGTGAAGTATTCTTTGGTTTGTCTCCAATGTCTTTGTACACGTCTGAGTTCATGATCCGCCAATGAACACAATCTCAGTGACAGCGCTGTGAGAAAAAAGCCCCAGACTTTCCCCTTCTGTGCTTTACAGACCTCTCAGGGCAGGCAGGATGGAGCTTTTCTCCACACAAAGACTCTGTTTACAACTGGTGGCTTCATGTGTCCTGAGTATCAGGATTATATCTGGATGAGACCACATAAAAATACAAGTGTAAATACACCCAAGACGCATTTAAACCAGATACAAATCTGATCACTCACACCGCTTCAGGAGGTGGACTGAGATGCATTTGAGCCACAATGTTATAGCAGCATAAACACATCTGCCTCTCCAAGACACATTTGACAACTAAAACCACTCCCAGTACAACCAAAACTTCTCCCAGTACAACCAAAACTCCTCACAGTACAACCAAAACTCCTCACAGTACAACCAAAACCCCTCCCAGTAGAACCAAAACTCCACCCAGTACAACCAAAACCCCTCCCAGTAGAACCAAAACTCCACCCAGTACAACCAAAACCCCTCCCAGCACAACCGAACTTCCTCCCAGTACAACTGGAACTCCACCTAGTACAACCAAACACCTCCCAGTACAACTGAAACTCCTCCCAGTAAAACCAAAACTCCTCCTGGTACAACCAAAAACCCTCCCAGTACAGTCGTAACCCTCCCAGTACAATCAAAGTCCCTCACAGTACAACTGAAACTCCTCCAGTATAACCGAAACCCCTCCCAGTACAACCGAATCTCCTCTCAGTACAACTGAAAACCCTCACAGTACAACTGAAATGCCTCCCAGTACAACCAAAACTCCTCCCAGTACAACCAAACCCCTCTTGGTACAACCAAAGCCTCTCACAGCACAACCAAACACCCTCCCAGTACAACCGAAACTCCTCCGAGCACAACTGAACTTCTTCCCAGTACAACTGGAACTCCTCCCAGTAAAACCAAAACTCATCCTGGTACAACCGAAAACCCTTCCAGTACAGTCGTAACCCTCCCAGTACAATCAAAGCCCCTCACAGTACAACCAAAACTCCTCCAGTATAACCGAAACTCCTCCAAGCACAACCAAAGACTCTCCCAGTACAACCGAAACCCCAACACTTGTGCTGAATTTTAAATAAAGCACAATTTGGCTGTTTAATGTAAAAGTTATACAAAATAAAATAGAAAACAAAATACACAACCACTCAAAAGTTTGGGGTCATAATAATAACTGTCATCCAGTAATAACTCAGTAATAACAGTGTAGACTGAAATGCTACAGACACCAAAACTTAAACCAACACTTTATTCACAGTTTATAGCATTTTGGGAACAGCATAAAGTTGTGACATGGAAGTGTTATTAAACATAAAGCTCTAATTTTCTGTTTATTGGAATTTGTTGTCATTAAAACACTATAAATATCTGTTTAATTAGCGAGATTTGGTTATCATCTTTCTAATATGAGGTATTGTGGGTGTCAGTATCAGTTTGTTCTCAATGATTTCTCATTTATCATGAAATCACTCACAGCTCCGTTTATCATCATGAACATCTTCAGTTTTACAGTTTCCTACAGACTGTTTGAACCTAGTAAGAAATTAGTTTCATTGTAGAATCATTTCATACCCACATCTTCAAAGAGACTGATTTATTATGAATGAAATATCAGACTTTCAAGCAGTAGTGTAACTGATAACCCACAAAAAGGGTGGAGGGGTTAATATGTGTTTTTTCATGAAGGGGCTCATTTTATGAAGGACCCTCTAGAACTCGATTAAAGGTTATTTGGTTATTTTTAAGGTTACTTTTGATGCTGACACAGTTACTCACACTGCAATCAATGGTATCTTCTCAAGTGAAATGATCTTAAATCTAGTTGACATATGTAATGTTTATCATGCTGAGCTTGTTGTAAGCTTTTTATAAGATTATTTAACTTATTTCTAGACTTTTTTTTACCTGTTTTAAGTAAGTAATTTGAGTAATTTTAGGTTTTAAGTAAATTAAGTTAGATTTTATCTCTAGAATTGCAGAAAATTATCTAGAAATAAGTCAAATTATCTTATCAAATCATTACAACAATCTTAACATGAGAAGCGTCTTTGATATTGACCAGATTTAAGATCATTTAATTTGACAACATAATATTTTTGCAGTGCACTTCTGAATTATGAAAGATTTAGTTTCTTACCAGAATAGTTCACTAGTGATCTCCCATTAACACTGACGTCCATGTGAACCACTCGCAGGAGCCTTCATTAACCAATTCAATTTGATTACATTCAAATAATACATGAAAAAAGGCAATTTATGAAAATAAGTACGCCGCACAGCCAAAGGCTCTTGGAAATCTCTTCTTATTTTGGCAGTGACGTGTCTGACAGCTAAATATGAGGCATAATTATGATCCATTCGGTAATCTAGTGTATTCAGGTTATCATTAGGTGCCAGTGAGTGTGGCATGCCTCAAGAGCATCAACTTGTTTGAGACATAAGAGACATAAGAATAGTCAATAATCCTCATTTTCTTCGGTGATACCAATAATTTTCATATTTGGGGTCCATAAGATTTAATTACACCACTGTTTATCTTACCTGAGTCCAAATATGTTTAAATAAAGTGCTTGTTGTTTTGGACACAGCAAGTGTAATATATTCACTTACTGGCCCCTTTACTAGTAATGCACAAGGTAGGTGTTTCTGATAAAATGGCCAATGAGTGGACGCACAAGGTAGGCGTTTCTAATAAAGTGGCCAGTAAGTGGAAGCACAAGGTAGGTGTTTCTAATAAAGATGGCCACTGAGTGGAAGCACAAGGCAGGTGTTTCTAATAAAATGGCCACTGAGTGGAAGCACAAAGTAGGTGTTTCTAATAAAGTGGCCACTGAGTGGAAGCACAGGCATTTGCCTTTTTTTCTTTACTACAATTTGCTAGTAAGGCGAACGCATGCAAACATCTTTTTAAGTGCAGTGCGCTTAAAGTATGCACTGATCATCAGTGTAGGCCTTCCCAGGTTTGTGGACGCATAGCGACACCTAGTGACATACATTATAATCTTAGGGACTTTGACTAGAGCATGTATCTTTGTATATTTTAAAAAATGCCAAAAAATATGAGTCAGTGTTCTAGACATACATCTGTCCAAAAGTGTGCAGACACCAGTGTTTCTTCTGAAATGAAGGGTGTTAATAGTGAGTTTGTGCTGCAGTAACAGCCTCTACTCTTCTGGGAAGACTTTACACTAGATGTTGGAACATTGCTGCGAGGATTTGATTGAGCATTAGTGAGTACAGGTACTGATGTTGGATGGTCAGTTCTGGATCACTCCAACTCATCCCAAAGGTATTAGATGAAGCTCCATCACTCCAGAGAACACAGTTCCACTGCTCCACAGCCCAGTGCTGGGGGGCTTCATACCCCTCTAGCCCACGCTTGGCATTGATGACCTTAGGCTCATGTGCGACCGCTCCAGAGCATCTCAATGCTTTTCTAAGGAGATTAGAAGGACTGTCTGATTACTTTTGGAGATGTGGTGTATTAAGTAGTACCCCATTCTTATCCACTGTTCTGAATGTAGGCCCAGCTTCTACCTGGAATCGTTATTCAGTTATCCCTCCCTGAGTCACTGTCAGATCAGTGCGGTCCAGAGCCTCCAGCCAGTCCAGCATTTCGAGTGGGTTTGACCACTTCTGAGCCAAGACCTTTTTCACACCGACAGAGGGTCAGGACACCCGTCAATCAAAAAGAGCCTCTTCCAGTAGAAGGACAGTAGTGGTGAGTCCTGAGAACATGACAGAATGCAGTGAACACACATTCACAGCAGAGTGAGGGGACAAAGTCATGCATCATCACATCACCACCTGCATGAGAGCCATTAGCAGTCACTGCTCGTCTTTGTAGTGTCACCAAAATGACCTCCGGCAGGATCTGGTTGAGTCAGTGTTGCCAGGTGTCACTGGCAGGAGTCAGGGTTTGCCAGGTTTTGAGCTCTGTTGTCTGGTTGGTAGTGTTGACTGGACGTTAAAGTTGGCTACTTTATTTGAATTTTCCATTCCACCTTAAATAGTGCAGCATTTACATCAGAAGTGAGGCACCAGAATGTAAATGTTGAACCATTTAAGGTGGAGCAGAGAATCAGAATGAGAAACCTATATATATATATATATAACCACTTATTTTCCCTCACTGAAATTTACATTTATTGTCCATTTTATCAGCTCTACTGACCATATAGTTTCACTTTGTAGTTCTACAGTTAGAGACTGTAGTCCATCTGTTTCTCTGCACACATTGTTACCCAGTTCAGGACCCCCAACAGGTATTATTTGGGTGGTGGATCATTCTATATTCAAATTATCAAAAATTACAATAAAAAAACTTATTAAACAGGACATAATGTGCATTTTCATATCAGCACATATGTTTGTATTTCTATCTATGTGCATTTAATATTTTAAATACAGTGAGTGTAATCAAAGCTTTTAATTGCGTACTTCAGTTATTATTTCATGGTTCTCCTGAGGTCAGACCACCTGACATGGTAAACAGAACCATTCTAAACACAACTCAGACATCACATTTTTCCCCATATGTTGGGGTCTTCTTTATGATGCAATTAGAGCCGATTTATGAGGAGCCTGGCCACTTCCTATTTCCCCCATTATATCAAAAACAGGACTGCTAAACAGTAGAGGGCGCCTGCGAGCGAGTCCTCAATGAATGGGAGTGAATGAAGCTAAACGGCTAAAAATGAAGTTAAAATAGTTTGTAATCACTAACACAGAACTTTCCTTTAATTTTAGAAAGTAGAAGTAGAGTTTCACTAAAAAAAAAAATAAAGAAAACTCACCTTTATGTTTCCTTTTTAATATAGCAAATGGGTTTTGGGCAGCAGGACGCTAACATTACTACTACTGAGTGCTGATTGGTTGGCGAGCGGAGCAGCTCATTGGCTGTTCGCGCTCACAAACATCATGAACGCACACGAGGCGCCGTTTTAAACTCCTATAACTCGAGTTTAAAAGCTCTTAAAAATATAACAGCAGTGTTTAAATGTTTTATGCTGCTCTGTGCTCAGGAAATGAATATTAATATTATTATATTAAAAATGTTTAAACATTTATGAACTATGATTTTGCTCAAATGCTCCATCTTAACCCATTCATTTTAGACTCGCTCGGGAGCGCCATCTAGCGTTTGAGAAACCCGGAAGACATTACAGAGTGGTAATTCTCCTCTCCACGTAAAGGCATGTCAAAATAAAAGTCCTTTCTTTTTCGTTGTGCTACCTGACATTTGAGTAAATAAGGACTTGTGGACAAAAGTGTTTGAGTCAGTTGATCACTTTTAAGATTTTGCCTTATTTTGCAACATGGTTTTTATTGTAAAGTTTTAAAACACAAAACCATGCCAAACTATTCTATTTTGAATTTTATACAACTAAATGACCTTTTTTGATAGTTTACTTAAGCGCTAGACTTTTTGAAGAAAAATGAAACTAAAATTAATTTTATTTGGATGGATTAAAAATTGTTTCACATAAAAAAATGTTGTTGTATAATTTGATATATGTCATGTATTTATTGAATTATTTTTTGGGGGAAATAATGGACTTGGACACAAAAATTGCTCGTCATGTCAATGACCCGAATATAGTGTTATATTCTCTGGCATCTTGTAAAAAAGCCCTTTGAATTGAACTGATTTCTACGTGCTGTGATCAGTCTGTTTTTATCACATCCAGTAGGGGGTGCGCTGTGCTTCAGCAAATTCGCTTCCAGTTCTGTGAACCTTTTTTTGTGTAATTCTCGTCCTCTGACCGCCTATTTTTAAAAATATTTACTTCACACAAACGTTTAGATACAAAAAAATTCATTAATCTAACCTTAGCTAAGTAATCTTAGCCGTGTCGAACGCACCGGATGTTGACGGTGTGCGTTGCTAGACGCGTTGCTAGGGTAGACACGCAGCTCGCTGACTCAGGCTGGAGAATCCCAACAATGAACCGATTCACTCGAACTGTCTGTTTAAATGAATCTAACTTCCGAACTAATGATTCATTTTTTATTTTCGCCATAAAATGACATTAGATTCAGCAGGTGAGTCTGATTTCCGCTGCCTTCACTCAATAAAGAAGCTGGACACCAATCGATAAGGAGAGTTAATATTAATTAAATTAAATTGTCACAAATGCAAAAGCAGAAGGTGCTTTTGATCTACTTATCAAAAAAGGCGCAAATTACTGTATTGAGGCCACAAATTACTATATCGAGGCCACAAATTAATATACTGACCCCACAATTTACTACAGCGAGGTCACGAATGACTGTATTTAGGCAATGAATTACTATATGGAGGCTACAAATTGATATACTAAGCCCACAAGTTAGGTTTCTCATAACAGGTGGCCTCCATACATGAATTTGTGGCTTCAAAAATAGTAAATCGTGACCTCAGTTTACAAAACCTTAGGTGCTCCGTATGAAGCAAACAGCACTGATCAACTTTTATTGCAAGTGTTCAACTTTATCATTTAGAATTTCGCTGCAAAAGAGTGCGATTCAGTTGAACCAGTGAATCGGTTCGATTGATTTATTTGAAACGAGTCGGTTCAAATGAACGAATCGTTCATCGCTACAACAAAACGAGCCGTGTGATGTGTTGATAAGGCCGAGCAGCTCACATGCAGTGACAGCCGTGCAGTTTACAGAGGACAGAAAGGTAGTCGAGCTTCAGATGATTCGCCAGCTGATCTGAGACAGCATGCCAGCCTGTGGTGACCAGGTTCAGAGCTCAGAGGAACAGGTTTGGGAACCGAGGAGCTGTTTTGGAGCTGTGGATCAGCGAACTCTGGGGAATAATTAGCCTGCAGTGCTGGTCAAGCCTGGCATGGGATTCCAGGGAAAGGCAGCAGAGTGAAGAGAAGGCAGTAAAGCTGGTTTTCTATTGTGCATATTGGATGAGGATGGATAAAGAAGAGTTTGGCCTGTGATTTTTACACGTTTCAAAGACTTTTAGCTGCAACTCAACGATTTCCTTTTCAGGTAAAAGCAGAAAAGGAACCTATTTTCTTCTATAAGTGCACTTTAGTTCTGATGACAGGTGGTTAGTAAGTAGTTCCATGTACTTACTTTGGATTTCTGCACTCCTAAAAAAGTTCATCAGAGGTTCTTTAGTAAAGAGAATACTTCTATAAGTAACCATTTCATGCTTAAATGTCTTTTACATGGTGAAATGGTTCTTCAGACTGATGGAGAACGTGTTGTGTGGTTCTATATAGAACGTTTTGGAAAATGTTTTTATGCAGAACCAAAAAGGATTCTTCTGTTGTTACAAGCGTGACATCGTAACAATAGCAGAACTCTTTTTGGTGCTTTATAGAACCATTTTCAAAAGGATATTATGTAGAACCATCTACAGCACATTCTCTGTCAATCTAAAGAACCCTTTACTGATGCAAAGAACTTTTTTAAAGTCCATTATTGAGTGTTCATCATTCTATGCAGAGCCATTTTCCTTTACTAAAGAACCGTTGAAGGGTTCTACTATTGTTACAATGTCAAGCTTGTTATAATATAAGAACCCTTTTTGGTTCTACATAGAACCATTTTCAGAAATGCTATATATAGAACCATATACAACACTTTCTCCATCAATCTGAAGAACCATTTCACCATGTAAAAGAACTGTTTATATAGAACTATTTCTATATGAAACGGTTCTGTATAGAACTCATGGCTCTAAGCCAGTCCTTTTAATAAAGAACCCTTAAAGAACCATCTTTTTAAGAGTGTGCCTTTCTCAGTATTTTCTAATGATATATTCAGCTAGTTTATGTCATGGCAAGACGAAATGACTCATAATGAATGAATATAATTAAATTGAATATACTTTATTATCGTTTGCTGTAAGTCTGTTTTGGGATCACAACAAACACATTTAAACAAACATAATATTGATACAAATGTAATATGTAATCGTACATCATAACTCATTTTCATATTCAGTAAAACATCATCAAAAATGCTTAACACAAACATCAGTAGATGGAGACCCAAAAATAACTCTTTTTATTTTCATGAAAAGCTACTATCGACTCTTATTTAGGTGGTTATCAAATTCTTTCCACTCCTTGAAGAGGAGCTCCACCAATTTATCTAAATTTCTACATAATTACATGGTTAAGATGTGAACAGAGTCGTTCAGAGTGGTTTGGTGTGAAATGCTCCATTCTAGATAAACTTACAGAGTCAGAATTGTTCACAGTGGTGGTGATAGGAACCAGACGTCCACCTCTAAAAGCTCCCTCACAGAAAGTTATTAAATGAAATGTTTATGAATTCACTGCCTGACGTCTTACACAGTGTTTTTTGTTGTGGTTGTTTTTAGAAGATTTTGGCCTTGTTTTTCAAGTCCAATATGGAGGGATACATGCGAACACCCTGCATGTATGATTTTATCATCATCAACATTCCATATAAACTCAGAAGACTTGTGTAGGTTCACTGGTGGTTTTGGATAGTAAATAAAATGTCTATATTTGTGTTGTAGTCATGGGGACCCCTGGTTCCTATCACCACCACTGTAAAGAAATCTGAACCATTTCACACCAAACCACTCTGAATCGCTCTGTTTACATCTCACACACTGAATTATGCAGATATTCTGAAAAATCGGTGGAACTGCCCTTTGAATGTGTAATGTAAATACCATATTTGAGTTAGATTAGAACTAATATGAAAGACAAACTACTTATTTAAGTTCCTTTTAAGACTTGTCAATTATATATATATATATATATATATATATGATATATATATATGTATATATATATATATATATATATATATATATATATATATATATATATATATATATATATATATGTGTATGTATTGGTGCTGTCGGACCAAAACAAATGGGCCAAAATTACTTGGAAAAAAGTCTGTTTCCATTGACTTACACTAAAAGTGGAATGAGTTTTTCCCTTCCCCTGTAAAGTTACTATTTTGGAGATAACAACAGCAATATATATATATATATATATATATATATATATATATATATATATATATTGCTGCTGTCATCTGTCATCATATCTACACTTACAGGCCAATTTATCAGAAACACCAAACACGTAGGTGCACTTTGTAGGTTTACAGTTAAAGACTACAGCCGATGTGCCGCCCCCCCCCACACACACCACCATGTCCATCATAGATCAGAAACTGACCACCGATGAATGACTGGAGTAACTAACACAAACTGAGCCTTAACAGATGAGCTTGGGTCTCTAACTGTACACCAGCAAGGAGAAGCTACAAGAGAGGAGTTTCTGATTCAATGTACACACATAAAGTCTCATGTTTTGATGATTAGTTATAGTTGAAGAGTGTAGAAAGAGCCTCGTTTTCCATCAGTATTATTGTTGTTTCTTTTCAGCTTTCATGAATTCAAGCTTTCTGACTGTACGATGGAGAAGTACGAGAAGCTGGCTAAGATTGGAGAAGGCTCCTACGGCGTGGTGTTCAAATGCCGCAACAGAGACACAGGCCAGGTAGTGGCCATCAAGAAGTTTGTGGAGTCTGAAGATGACCCGGTCATCAAGAAGATAGCACTGAGGGAGATCAGGATGCTGAAGGTAAGGACTGAGGGTGACACCTTGTTTTAAGGTCTGCTTCTCAATGCTTACCAAACTGTTAGGAGGGAGTTATCAATGCAAGTCACGTAGGCTGCGCCAGAACATTTGGGCGGGACTAGAAATATGGCAGACCACTGATTGGTCAAACCATGATCACAGAATCGCTAGAACAGTTTTGATGTGCCTCGGCACAGATTGTACACCTATTTTAGAAGGAATGGACCATTCTTCCAAAAGAATCTCTCTCAATTAGTGTTTTGATGATGGTGGTGGAGAGCACTGACTGACATGTGAGTCCAAAATCTCCCATACATGTTAAACTGGGTAGAGATCTGGTGACTCTATAGTATAGGATTTACATCATTCTCATACTTATCAACCCATTCAGTGGCCCCTCATGACCTGAAAGAGACCACTCTAATCAGGAAATTTTTCATCATTTAATAAAGATTTTCCTCTGAGATTACAAGTGGATGCAAACTCTGACTGCAAAATGCTTCCCCCTATTCTATTTAAGCAGATTTATGCTATGCTGTCTGTTAAATGTTAAATACAAATCATTGTATTCATAGTTTTTGACAGTATTTGTAAAATTCTTTGTCTGTTGTTACTTATCAGTTGTTAGGAAAGTGTAAATATTGTCGCATATCGTGAACTTTTGTGATATTACATTTTGGCCTTATCGCCAACCTCTAGGTCATACATCTCTCTTCGCTTAGCGAGTTTATGCAAGCTTACAAGTGTGGTATAAATGTACAACCCCATTTCCAAAAAGGTTGGGACGCTGTGCAAAATGTAAATAAAAACAATGCAATGATGTGCAAATCATTTAAACCCTATATGTATTTGAAAAATAGTACAAAGACAACATACCAAATGCTAAAACTGAGAAATGTTATTGTTTTTTTAAAAATATTTGCCCATTTTGAATTTAATGGAAGCAACATGTTCCAAAAAAGTTGGGACCGGGGCAACAAAAGGCTGGTAAAGTTGTTTAATGCTAAAAAAATACCTTAAGGTTAATTGGCAACAGGTCAGTAACATCACTGGGTAGAAAAAGAGCATCTCAGAGAGGCTGAGTCTTTCAGAAGTAAAGATGAGGGGTTCACCACTCTGTGAAAGACTGCATGATCAAATAGTGCAACAATTCAAGAATAACGTTTCTCAATGTAAAATAGCAAAGAGCTTTTGCTTTTCATCATCTACAGTACAGAATAACATTAAAAGATTCAGAGAATCTGGAGGAATCTCTGTATTCAAGGGACAAGGCTGAAAACCAGTATTTTGCTAGCCGTGATCTTTGGGCCCTCAGGTGAATTAAAAACAGACATGATTCTGTAGTGGAAATCACTGCCTGTGCTCAGGAACACTTCTGAAAAACACTGTCTGTGAGCACAATCCATCACTGCATCCACAAATGCAAGTTAAAACTCTACTATGCAAAGAAAAAAACATATATACAGGATCCAGAAACGCTGCCACCTTCTCTGGGCCCAAGCTTATTTAAAATAGACTGAGGGGAAGTGGAAAAGTGTCCTGTGGTCCAACGAATCAACATTTTAAAATTCTTTTTGGAAATCATGGACACTGTGTCCTTTGGGCTAAAGACCACTTAGCTTGTTATCAGTGCACAGTTCAAAAGCCAGTATTCATGATGGTATAGGGGGGCATTAGTGCACTTGGCATGGGTGATGTGCACATCTGTGAAGGCAACATTAATGCTGAACGATATATACATGTTTTGGCGACATATGCTGCGATTCAGACGACGTCTTTTACAGGGAAGGCCTTGATTATTTCAGCAAGACAATGCCAAACCACGTTCTGCATGTATTACAACAGCATTGCTCTGTATTAAGAGTCCGAGTGCTGAACTGACCTGCCTGCAGTCCAGACCTGTCACCACTGAAAACATATGGCACTTTATGAAACGAGAAATATGACTAGAGACCCCAAACTGATGAAATCCTGTATCAAGTAAGAATGGAAAACATTTCACGGTCATAACTACAGCAGTTCGTCTCCTCACTGACCATGAGAACTGAAATCTTTCATTGCAAACACTCTTGAAATGTCTTTATGTGAATTCTTCATAAATGAAAATGAACAGGCAATTATTATCTGAATTCATCAAGACCAAATATTGTAGTAAACGTTGGTAAATGGTCATATTTCAGCTGCAAGTGTACTTATATATGTTATGTGTATTGAATATGTTTGCATGTCTGGTAAATTATAAACAAATGATTCCGACTAATTTTACAGTGATTAGTGTGCAACTGTGTTTGAAAGTGTAATAATAAAAGCAAATCAAGTGAGCTAAGGCGTGAAAACCACCTGAAGAAAGTGTTCATCAGCTTTGTAGCTTATTTATTCTTAATAAGCCCTAGTGGATGATTAAAATTAATATTTCTAAGTTCTTAACTGTTAATGATGGACTTTAGCTCCCAGGCTTTATAGCAGAATTCAATGAAACCCTGTAATAATATACATGTATCATTATTGTATTACAAGCTACTGTAAAATTAGTGTTCAAGCATCCACAAATTATGAAATGTGACCAATTACTCACATTTACTACTTCTAGTTTGCTCGTTGCAAATTCAGATAAGTATTACCTGCTCATATTGCTTGATTAATAGGTCACAAAGTATGTTTGCAACTGAAAGAATACAATTAATTAATATTTAGCTCAATAGTCAAGAAGCTGTTAAGAACTAATCCAGATAAAACCTTATTAACACGTCATATAAATACATTTCAGCTTGTTTGCAAATGATATGTGTATATTTTCGAGGACATTATTTACTGCATATAAATAGTCAATTAGTTTTAAAGAAGCAGATCTTAAAATAAAGTGCTACCAGAGTTCTCTCTCTCATTTACAACCCCCCCCCACAGCTCTCTTACTCTGTTCACTATTTTACTACTTTCTGAACTCCTAATTTCCTCTCCCTCTGGTTCCCCCTGCAGCAGTTGAAGCACGTAAACCTGGTGAACCTTCTGGAGGTCTTCAGGAGGAAGAGAAGACTGCACCTGGTCTTCGAGTTCTGCGAACAAACCGTCCTAAATGAACTGGACAAGCACCCCAGAGGGTCAGTCTCTTGTTGTTACATTGTTGCTTATTTGAAATATTCACAGTTGTTTAGATGTTTCCTTTGAGTTCTATATTTTGAACATCATAGATATATTTCATGAAGGTAACCAGAGGGTGTTTGTTTATATAAAAACCTTATCAAAGTCTTACCATAAAACATCAGGCAGCGTATTCGTAGCCATTTCATGTAATAACTTTCTGTGAGGAAGCTTTTAGAGGTGGACATCTGGGTTCCTCTCACCACCACTGTGAACAATTCTGACTCTAGAACTGAGCATTTCACACCGAACCACTCTGAATGACTCTGTTTACATCTTAATTGTTTAATTATGCAGATGTTCTGAAAAATCAGTGGAATTGGCCTTTTAGGAAGATCAGTAAACTGAATATTTTAAGGGAACCCAGTGACTAACTTTTTGTGAATTAAAACAGTTTAAAATTTAAGTTACTATAATATTAGTAAAACTAACTTACTATTTGATATTCAGTAGACTCAAACTTTTAACTGACTATTTTAACTCACACATCATCTCAACTATATAATTATGGAGAAAATTATAAAAACTAATTCCTGTTTAAGTTCTGTTTGACATTATATTTGATGTTGAAACTGGTTGAATTCCTCTTTAAGTTATGTTGATTTGCTATTTGACGTTCGGTAGAATTCCCCTTTAAGTTCAGTTGAGTTACTACTTAATGTTCAGCAGACTCAAACTTTAACTTTTTTGAACTGAAACACCATCTCAACCGTATAATTATGTAGAAAGAATTTTTTCAAAAATGGTGGAATTCCCCTTCAATTGACTAGGAACAGGATTAGGAGCAAAAGATTTTATAGGACGTCCTTATTTAATTTGAATTACTGTTATTCTAACAATCACAGGTTTGTTCCTGAGCCTAAGAACGGCTTGTTAGATGAAGCTATTCTACAAGACGTGTACTAAACAGTGAGCTTTATTGTTGCTATGTGACTTGGTGGGTGTACCAAAAGTATTATGGTTTCAAATGGGATACTTAGAAGTCACTTAAAGGGTCCGTATCATGGAAAACTGAATTTTCATCACTATTATAAAACAAAAGAGTTTAATGTCGTATGTAAACAGTGTTAAAGTTTCAAAATGTACTGTTCACTCCTCGGTACATACGGTCCATACAGCGGAAACTTACGCTGCAAAAACAGCCTGACTCACTGTTTGTGTGATGTCACGAAAACCAACACATTTACATATCCACCCATTCAGCCTACAGCAGTTTAGCCCCGCCCACTCAGACTGGAATTATAAGGAGTGTTACAGTCTGGACTTTGTTGAATGGGACCCAACCAATCAGAACAGAGCTTATTTACATATATCAGTCTTAAAGGTACAGTAACCAAAGTAGCCTGTTTAATAGGAAGGCGTAAAGAGAGGTTGGAAAATGGCCCTGTAAAAATGAACCATGAGAATAAAAGCACACAAACATTACAATTTAAATTCGACAGAAGAGTTAAAAGACACTATAACATAGGATATGGGCCCTTTAAGTCCACATGTGTTAGTGTCCACCGCTTGTGTGGCTAAAGGTCAAGCTGATTCCAGATCTCAGTTCATTTGTAACCCCACAAAAGCCAGTGGCTGCCTAACTATCTCCATCTGAAGGCCAAAGGCTTTTTCGCAGTAACCTTAGCCGTCCCTGAAAACAAAGGCGCCTGTTGCTACGGGAGACAGGCGCTGCGTTGCTGCGGCGATGCTTTTTTCTATCGCCGTCTTTTCAAAAAAGAAGGGGGATAGAACCGAAGACGTATAGCTTTCTGTTGGTCCTCCAGCGTTCTTATGTCTTGACAACAGCCCTTCTCCTTTTGTTTCCTGTGTTCTGCAGGGTTCCTGAGGCTCAGCTGAAGAGTATCATCTGGCAAACTCTTCAAGCCGTCAACTTCTGCCACAAAAACAACGTCAGTTTCAATCACTTGAATTCGCAGGGCCTTAAACTCCTTTGGCTTAACAAACACTGAGCACTTTGTAATTCAGCTACAGTTTCTCTTCTTAAAGACAAAGAAAACTCAGCCACCACATCTTGACGTGTGAGGACCTCAGTGCTTACATAAGCGTTAGTGTATAGGAACTTCTCACGATGCTTTTACAGTTCAGGCCTGAAAAGTGAAGCTACAGTAACGCATTGTTCTTTATTATGTGTATTACTGGAATGGAGGTCTACAGGGGCTTGAAATTGAAGCTCAAACCTGACCTGTAGCTTAACTGGTACTGCTAAATTTGAGACATGAACCCGATCCAAACCCACTAACACGCAATAACAGGGAAGGATTATTGTAAACACAGTTGTAGGGAGCTGTTCCGCCGTTATAGATGATATAGATGATAAGCTGGATGGCGTTCCGGGTTCTGAAGGAATATGCTTGTATACCAAGCATGTCTTGGCTGGCTGACCCCCTGACATAAGGATAGGGGGAGATGGCACTACAAGGCTAATGTAGCTAACAAGAAATCTAAGCTAATAGCCACCACAATGCATGCAGCATGGTGCTAACTGCACGTCTGAATCAGCACACATTCACCTCAAAACTTGATTACACTGTATGACAAACTGTCATCTGTAAACATGGACTAAAGTATGGACACAAATGGTCACTACAGTTTTTAGCTATATTCTGGTACTTTAGTCCATGTTTATAGATAACAGTGAGTCATACAGTGTCAGAAACCACATAATCAAGTCTATTAGAGATTACTGGACAATATCACACACTTTGAGGCCAGTGCACTAACTGGATGCTACCTTGTTGGCCATAAGCTTCAATTACTAGTTAGCTACATTAGCATTCTAGCTTCATGCTGTGCAACACTAAGCAAAAGACAGCAAACATATCTCAGCTGATCAGTATCTGAGATACAGTTGGTGTAAAGGAGGAGAACCGACTCATATTACATTACACCTGTCAGTAACATCCTTAGTGCTCAGTCCAAAAATGGTCACCTCTCAGTGACCTGTTCATGCTGATATGTCCTTGGCTCGCGCTAGAAGACTACTCGTTTGAATAATGAGGGGAAAAAGTGAAATCTGATCACAGCTGGCCGGCGCGTGTGGACTTTCTCTTGTCAAGTGTAATTTGTAAGTGCTAACATCTGCTATGTCTTATTTAAATCAATGCAAACACAGTTTGTCCTTTCATACCAAAAGTGATTTAGTCCAGTCAATGATTGTGAACGTCTCTGAGCATAATGGGAAGATTGTTATGCAAATGCGGGGAAGAATAAATTATATTTTGGCAAATGAGAACATAAAATCTAGTTAATATAGTCGACGTAACGTTTCTCATTTTGTGACTGTGTAAGAATATTGTAAGTTTATTCAAGATGTTGCAACTCATTTCTATTTTTTTTTCTTTTTTTAAAGTAATTTTGTCTACAGAGATTGTCTTTGGCCTTTTGGCCAATAATTTTGCTTGTTTCAAGACATAACGCAGGCAAAATTATCTGCCAAGAGAATCAGACAATTTCATTAGATGATCATTAAATGACAAGTAAAAATGGTTAGATATTTAATCACATTAGTATATTAGCGCATTTATTTTCAGTGTATAGAACTTGGTGGAAACAGTGTCTTGACTTAGACATGCATAGCAGCTGCTGCACGTCTTCATCAGTGATGTAACTAAAGGTGACCACGGTATGGCAGCTTTAGAAGTCTACAGAAACATCTGGCATCCATTTCAGCACTGTTTTAATATGTTTTCGTATACTTGGCCTCATCATTTCCCCTTGGGGTAATCTCTAATACCACCTTAGCACTGTTTCTTTACTGTATTAGTTCAAGTGAAGTTTGTAAGATGACCCCTTTGGAGGAGACAAGGGACTGAGTCAATATAAACGCAGACTTCAGGAGTAGAACGTGTCCAGAACACATTGCAATAATGAAGCTCTTTATAAGCTGGTGTTCTAACAGTTTGTCCCATTGAGCGGTCACACCAATGCCGCAAACCATTACAACAGCATAGAAACTTAGGCCCAATCCCATTTCTTCTTTTTACCACTACCCCTTGTTTTTGAGTGTCACCCAAACCCCTTGTTAATCACATTAGTATATTAGTGCATTTATTTAGTTACAAGGGGTAGTGGTTGAAAACTTGCCCTATGAAATGGGACCCTCAAATAAAAAGAGCATTACTTCATTAACAGCTACTAGCGCTGCTCTGTAGGCGACCCTGCCAGTCTGCAGTGACAGCAGAGGAGGGTAAAGTTCAGCTCCTCACTGCTGGGCTTGAGTTATATTTTGGCATCTTATGCCTTCATAGGGGGACAGTTATTTATTATCGCCCACCCCTAATTCTTCAGTGATACGAAGCTGAAGTCAGATATTCACCAGCTTCTTGTTAGAATTTTCCCATTCCACCTTAAATGGAGCAGCAGTTATATTCTGGCGCTTCAGGTGTCAGAACTGCTGGACTATTTAAGGTGGAACGGGAGAATTAGCTAGGTAGCTACCGAGACATCAGCATGCTATTAGCAATTTTTAAGCTTGTTGTGAAGAAAACGAACATAATATACTGACACAACATTAAACTAAGACAATATAATGGTTATTGTAATTTTTAACTGAGAAAATTCTCACATTTGTATGTTTCTTTGGTCTCTTGTTCAGCCCTCTTGTCAGTTTTTCTTTTTTCCTCATAACACTCTGTTTGGAGTCTCTGAAAAACCTCCATTTGGGCCATGTAGCCCCAACACTTCATCCCCCTCTATCTCAACAAGAATCAGGACACCCTACCCCTAGACGTGAACGCGCAAAACAGAGGGCTAAGGGCTCAGTGGTAGGGACGAGGGGTTAAATGGGATTGGGCCTTAGTGTTTCAAATGTTTTGTTGTGTGTTTAATAGTACTTTAGTACAGTCTCAGTTTAATTTTACTACTTACCCCCTGACAGGGTGATTAAGGCAATAAAAATATCTTAATTATTCTTTTAAAGCAGGTAACATTTTATGATAAAGTGATTTAGGCTGTGAAAATATCTTACCTACACATTTCAACGGTATTTTCTGATGAGGTGATTTAGGTTTCCTATTATATGTATAGTGCATAGTAGATTCCTGCTAACACTGACCCTGCTGGAAAAAACAGCACTAAACTGTTTAATGCTGCTCTATCCTGGTTTAACATGCCAGCATTCAAAACACAACATATTGTCGCTGTTGTGCGAAAACGACTACACATACAAACGATTTACACATGAAACACAGTAAGCAACACAACAGAGGAGCCCGGTTACATGACATTATTAATGATTTTACTGATATAGCCTTTTCATACAGACTTTTAAACATATTTGAACAATCTGAAAATTGGTTACATAGACTTGTATTACAATTTAAGACGTTTTTTCCCTCTTCTGTAAAGTTAGCATTTTGGAGCTACAAGGTTTTGTTCCAACAGCGACGATATGCTGGTTTTGCTTGTGGTCAGCAATGCTGGTTTATGCTAGTTTTCTAGCAAAGAGTGCAATAAAATACTTAATATTTCAAAAATATCACTTTCTATTTGCGATGATTAACCAGTTAAATGGGCGGGCCATTGAAGTGCCTGTAGTTACTGAATAATAAGCATTGAAGTGCCTGTAGTTACTGAATAATAAGCATTGAAGTGCCTGTAGTTACTGAATAATAAGCATTGAAGTGCCTGTAGTTACTGAATAATAAGCCTTGAAAATGCCTGTAGTTACTGAATAATAAACATTGAGGTGCCTGTAGTTACTGAATAATAAGCATTGAAGTGCCTGTAGTTACTGAATAATAAGCCTTAAAGTGCCTGTAGTTACTGAATAATAAACATTGAGGTGCCTGTAGTTACTGAATAATAAGCCTTGAAATGCCTGTAGTTACTGAATAATAAGCCTCAGTAAGTAAAAGGGGATTTTAAGGGGTTTAACTTCAGGTAGAAAACACCTGATCAACTTTCTGCTAGATTACTACTTACCAAGCTTTGTTGCTAACACAGCTAGCAGAAACACAAAAGAAGAGCAGTGAAGTACGGCGTTCATTCTAAACCTGAACCTCAAGGAAGAGAAACTATTCACAGTTTCTGTATGTTGTGCTCAAACCTCTCAAAAAAACTTTTTGTGCTATGAGCTTTGCTTAGCCAGTTAGTTAGCTCACTGAGGCTAGCCTAGGGCATATATCCGCTGCTTGCCTACTTGTGAGTGTCAAACAGTCACGCACAGAATGGAGATGTCAGTGTAGATGTGGACGATGTGGCAAAATGTGATATCACAATACTTGAGTACTTTTTCATTTTTTATGTCATCAGATACGTTAGAACAGACAAAGTAGTGACACATTTTAAAAATACGATCAAAAACTATGAATCCAATTTCACACATTGTGCTGCACTAAATCCAATTTAACAGGACTAATCAGGCTTTTTTTGATCATAATGCAGTTGGAAAGTGATGAGACATCATTCACAATATTCCCAGATAAACATATTGTGACATATTGTGATGTAATTTATCACAATAACGATGACTGTTGTCATATTACCCAGCTCTACCTCAGTGAGTCGGAGGCCCAGTGTTACTGCATGAAAGACATAAGCAAGCGAATTCTAACTAATTGTGTCCCTGAATGTGCCCAGCAGTGTATCCATCGGGACGTGAAGCCAGAAAACATCCTCCTGACCAAGACGGGCGTCATTAAGCTGTGTGACTTTGGCTTTGCACGCATCCTCAGTAGGTCCCCATCTGTCCTTCTCTGTGTCACAGATCCAGTACTGCAGTGTACTAGACTCCTAGTGTACTAGACTCCTTTAGTGCAGCAGTGAGTTCACAGTGGATGTGGTGTTCTGTTAATACATGAATGATATACTAAACTGCAGAAACATGAAGTCTGGAAAACAGGCTGCTATACATAGTGGAAGGGGCGGAGCCATCAGAGGCTTCTGTCTGTCCAGATGTATTTCTATGTGATATTATCTGCATTAGGCTATTTATTATATGCAGGCAAGAATTTCTAATTGTTATAATGGTTACTAAGCATGTAATGTTATAGCTGACTAAGACTGCATGATTATCACATTTTTTGTGATACTGGAAAATCTGAAAAAATATGTTTTCTTTGGGGACTATTTTGCCTCATAACGCCCTGTATGTATCCCTCCACCATAAATGATTTGAAAAATATGTTTTAGGCCAAAATCTTCTTAAAACTATCGTAGAACAATGTCTCATACATCAGCCAGCATATTCATAACCATTTCATGCAATAACTTTCTGTGTGGAAGCTTTTAGAGGTGAACGTCTGGTTCCGATCACCACCACTGTGAACAATTCTGACTCTGTAAGTTTCTCTAGAACAGAGAAACTGTGACCTCAATGAAAACATTACATTACATGTGCAGCGCAAGAGTTGAGCATTTAATGTGTTAAGCACTGATAGCTACTGTTACAACAAACCTGCATCACCATTTGTTACAGGCCTAGAAAAGAAAAATATGTATTTATCAATTTCTGTTGGTCTGTTTAAAAAAATCTGCTTAGGGAACGCTGACTGTTTTTCTATCAGCCTTAAAGTGCACATAAAATGTTTGCAATTGATATTAGCTATTAATTTTTGATTGTGTATTTTGCACAGTAGTGAATTGTATTGTTACATATATTTTTGCTCTAGTTTTTTGTTATTGCTTAAAGGGCATTTCCGCTTATTTTTCAATTGCATAATTCAGTGGCTAAGCTGTAAACATGTAAGTCATTCAGAGTGGTTTAGTGTGAAATTGTTGATTGCAGAGACTTTCTTTACAGTGGTGGTGATAGGAACCAGGGGTTGCCATGACTACAACACAAATATAGCCATTTTATTTACTATCTGGAACCACCAGTGAACCTACATGAGTCTTCTGAGTTTATATGGAATGTTGATGATGGGAAAATAGTGGAAAATCCGAAATAACAAGTTTTCTTTGGGGACTATTTTGCCTCGTAACACTCTGCATGTATCCCTCCACCATGAAAGGATTTATGCCAAAATCTTCTCAAAACTATCATAAAACAATGTCTCAAGCATCAGGCAGTGAATTCATAACCAATTCATGTAGTAACTTTCTGTGTGGAAGCTTTTAGAGGTGGACGTCTGGTTCCTATCACCACCACTGTGAACAGTTCTGAAGTTTCTCTAGAACAGAGCATTTCACACCAAACCACACTGAATGACTTTGTTTACATTTCAAACACTAAATTGGAGGTTTGGTTAAAGATGCTGCTGCCCTACAAAAAAATAAATAGTCACACAATGTAAAGGACAGCTGATATTTTGAAATTAAAATTACACACACACACACACAATGCCCGAACTGGGACGCCTGTTTTTCCTCCTCTCTCCCCGCAGCACGTTTATGTGCATTTAGCATCCTTGGCTTGCTAATGACTTATTCATACTGGCCGCCTATGTCACCTCTCTTTCTTTAGCTGCTCACTTTCAGCCTTGTGTGAAGTCCAGGGCCTCCCAAACCCGGTCAGCCAGTTAGCGTGGTCCGAGCTCCGCTTACCTTCCTCCTTCTTATGTTTCAGTGTATTGTTACCATAGGCTAACATGTAGTCCGTCAGTCGACGTGCCGTGTAATCCTCCCCTTATGATGTGTCTGTGTGCATGTGCGCGTGACAGCTGGTCCAGGTGATGACTACACAGACTACGTGGCCACACGGTGGTACCGTGCCCCGGAGCTGCTGGTGGGGGACACGCAGTACGGCCCCCCAGTGGATGTGTGGGCCCTGGGCTGCGTGTTCGCTGAGCTCCTGCATGGAAACCCTCTCTGGCCTGGGAGGTCCGACGTGGATCAGCTCTACCTCATTCGCCGAACACTAGGTACGCCCGAAACGAAGAGGATAAGGCTGTTCCAATCGATATCAGAGCCAATCAAGCGATACTTTAGGAGCCACATTCCTCATTTTTGTTATTTATCATATTTGTGTGGGATTAGGTACCATCCCTTCAGCCTGAACTGAACTGCTTCATTAACGAGGCACAGTACAGGGTAACCAATCAGAACAGAGCTCATTTAGATGTATAAGATTTAAAGGCACAGTAACTAAAACAGCCTATTTAATTCTAAGGGCTAAAAGGAGGTTGGAAAATGATGTCAAAATAAATTGCTTTTTAAAAATTTGATCCACAGAAGCATGCAGTCAATATCAGTGGACTTATCCTAGGGTTTCAGTCATGTGATTTCCCTGTTGCAGCTGCTATATCTGGGACCGTTTTCCTGGCTTTGCTGCTCTGAACATAACTAGAGGTGAAAGACGGCTAAAATTACTCTCCTCACTTTGGAAAATAAAAACGTTTCCTCGACAAAGTCGATAAAATAGGCTGAGATCCTTATACAGTTTCCCCTGAACTCCTGGTCCCACTTAAACTGACGGAAAGCTACCAAATTTGTGTTTTCTTGACATTTATATTTATCTCAACAGCCCCTCTCCCTATTCTGGAGTCTCTCAAAGCATTTAAAAGCACAGAAGCCCACCGGCTCTTCACGTCAGGGTGGGTATAGGATCCCATGGTGTTGCATAAGGAGGAGAAAAAACTCTGTCATCATAGGAGGGTAACGACATCAGCTAATTAACACAGATGTGAACAATGCTAGCCTTTAGATAGCTTAAGCTAATGTCAACAGCCGAGAGATGAACAGTCGTCCCCCTAACGGAGCTGCAGACAGCCGGTATAACTTTACTCTCTGTTTCTGGAGATTTAAATGACGTTTGAATGGAGAAAAATAAACGTTAAACATCAGACTGAATGTCATAGTTCAGAAAACTACGTCGTGTCTCGACAGACGTGATTCTGTAAGTTTGCTAGTGCAGTTAGTTCAGAGTTCAGCTCCAGTCCTGAAACCCCTGCACTGCATTTCTGTGGTTTCCCTGGTTAAAATACCTGATATTATTAGCTAATTAATCCCTTCTTGAGCTGAACGAGGTGTGAACAGCAGAGAGAAACAGTAAACTATACAGTGCAGCGGCTCCAAGCCTGGAGTCTGAAACACTAAATTAATGGTCTGTGTATCTCTCGTCATTCTCGGCTTCAGTCGCGTCTTGCAGGTGAATCATTCACCAAGCACAACAAATTGAAGGCATTGGTCAAAATGACAGTGTGACGTCATGCAAAATACGAGAATAAATAAATAGGTGAAAAAATGGTTGGTATATTTTAGTAGATAACACCTTTGTCCTCAATGCTGTGGATTCCCCACCTGGGCAAGTACTCTACACTATACAAAAACAAGTCCTTGGGCAAGACTCCTAACACTACCTTCACCTACCTGTGTAAAATGATCAAATTGTAAGTCACTCTGGATAAGAGCGTCTGCCGAATGTCATAAAATGTCAAATCAATGAAAAGAAACAGTTTCAGAACTTTATTGAGTGATGACCACATCTGGCTAATGGCAAATAATGGGTGTGTCACATTTTGTCAGACTGGGACTGTAAATGCGCTGATAAAGCAGTCTAATGTTTTAAACCTGATCCCGCTGTGTTTATTAAAGTCCTCATCCTCTTGACTTTAGGTGACCTGATCCCTCGTCACCAGCAGGTTTTCCGCTCCAATGTCTTCTTCAGTGGAGTCAGCATCCCTGAACCAGACACCATGGTAACAGGCATACACACATACACATATGCATATGAATAAGAATACTTATTATTTTTATTATTATTATAGTAATTGTTATTATAATAATATAATACGGAGTTGAAAATATGTCTTATTGTAGGAACCACTGGAGAAGAGGTTCCATGGTGCATCTCCTCAAGCCATTAGTGTGATGAAGGTAAGCTTCATGTTGATGTAGTGACTGTGTACTGATGGATCTATATAGTATCAATACAGTATAGCAACTCATGCAAAAAGAAAATTGGTTAATTCTGCCTTATATTTAACGGTGTGTCCACTGCACACAAATTTGTTAGAAGAAATTTGGTCCCTGTGGCATGCGCCCGTCCCCCGGGCCCCAGTGACGACCATGAGAGCCTGCAGGGCAGGAAGGCGGTGACAAAGCCCGGCCAGTGGGAAGAGGAACACAGCAAGTGAGGGCGGGATGGCACACGAGTCCCGAGCCCTGCCGTTTGGATGCCGCCTCCGGTCCCGCAGCGAGGCCACTTTAATTTGCCTCATGTTTAACCTGGGTGGATGAGCTGCGGAGCGGGGTCGGCAACGAGGAGGCGGAGCAATGAGCTCTCTTTCCCTCTCAGCTCGGGCGCTCATGCATCAGCTGGCTCTCATTAAGCTCGGGACTCGTGCACCACCCCCCCACTTGCTGTGTTCCTCTTCCCGCTGTTCTCACTTGGCTTCATCACCACTCGGTGTTCTGGCCCCACCTTCCTGCAGTCTCTCATGGCTGCCGTCGGGGCCCGGGGGACAGGCGCACGCCACACACCCATTCAGTTTTAATGTGGAGTAGCAAAAAATGTGTGAACTGATTGAGAACTTAACTCAGAAGGAGAAAAACTTGGTTTTGTTTAATTGTGGGACGATGGAGAAAATATACAGGCTAACAATTCAGGGAAATGATGATTTTATGTTTTAACAAGACTGTAAAACATTCTTTTTCATGAGTAGATTGGTTTGCTACCACGAAACCCGAGTGCCTGAGTGTGAGCGCAATGCTGATGACTGCTCTGGTGCGGCTTATTCGCTAACCAGGCTAACTACTCTAGCTGATGTTAGCCAGGTCTAAAACAGTGAAAATATATTTTTTTGACAAGGAACATGCTGGCAAACTGTCCGTTGAGGAGGAAAGACCTCATGTAGAAGAAGATGCGTCCTTATCGGCAGTCAGTGCGGTACTGGTTAGCATTAGCTTATTAACTCATCTGAAGGGGCAACCGGTTACTAATCAGTCACAAACTGACTAGTTTCCCTTGGCTATTTATAATAAAAGATGTTTATAATAGATGTTTTCAGTGCTGTCATCCTAAAAGGAAGCCTACAGTCTAATACTAATTTTGGCCGAAGTCTGTTGTTTTTCTTCTTCATGGTTAACCAGATGTTCATTCATTAACTTGTACGATACTATAAAAATTAGCTGGAATGCTCATTTTCCCTATTAGTCATGCTCATGTTCTTTAAATGTGACAACAGCATTGAGAAATGCCATTTAGTCTACTCAGAATAGTACAACCCCATTTCCAAAAAAGTTGGGATGCTGTGCAAAATGTAATGGGGTATGTTTACCACTTCATTTAATAATGCACTAAATGTTCTCAGTGGTGACAGGTCTGGACTGCAGGCAGGCCAGTTTAGCACGTGGACTCTTTTAATACAGAGCAATGCTGCTGTATTACATGCAGAATGTTGTTTGGCATTGTCTTGCTGAAATAATCAAGGCCTTCCCTGAAAAAGACGTCATCTGGATGGCAGCATATGTTGCCAAAACATGTATATATCGTTCAGTATTAATGGTGCCTTCACAGATGTGCACGTCACCCATGCCATGTGCACTAATGCACTCCCGTATCGTTTGTGTGTGTAGTCGTGTCTGGTGATGGACCCTGCTGGAAGGCTGTCGTGTGAGGAGTTATTAGAGCTGCCGTACTTTCAGGAAGAGGGCGGAGCCGGGTGGGGCAGAGACGTGGATCGGCCCGGGAGACGCCATGAGAAAGGAACCAGACGCAGAATGCCTGGGGTAAGATTTGCTCTTTTACAGAGCTCAGAACAGCTTTTCTTCTGAGACCTTCATCATCTGCATCATAAAACCATATGATCAGACAAGAGCATCGTTTACCAATATAACTCAGTTTATTTTATTAATATTAAAAACTATCACTAATTTTACATGTTCATTCCTAACACTATTCTGAAGAATATTCAAGAATACATTACTTACATCTTACATACTTAAAAATGATGGTTCATCAACGGTTCTATAGTAAAGAAAACCATTGTATTTTAAACCATGAACATAATTAAGGCTTCTTTGGGTGATATACTGAACCCTTTTCAAAAAAGGTTCTATATAGAACCCTCTACAGCACATTCATACATGTTTTCCATCAATCTAAAGAACCTAAGAAACAATGCAAAGGACCCTTTAATCCTGCAGAGGGTGCTTTGAGTGTTCATGGTTCTATATAGAACCATTTTCTTTACTAAAGAACCCTTGAAGAACCTGCTTATTTAAGAGTATATATAAAATGTTTTTGGAAAGGGTTCTATTAAGCACCAAAAGGGTTCTACTGTTGTAACAAGCCTGCCATCGTAACAATAGAAAATCCCTTTGGCTGATTATGGGCCTGGTTTTTACACCTTCTCTGCAGTGTTGGATAGAGGTGTGTGCTGTGTAGATCAGTGTGAGAGCAGCATGCATGTTGTTTTCACAGATGCAGTATTTACCTCAGCTCCCCAGCAGCAACATCTCCCCAGCACCTGAGCAGAAGAACAAACACAAGCCCAAATATGACCACCATCTGCCCAACATCTGAGAGAGGAGCGTGTTCTGGACAAGGAGCAAACAGACCTCTGGAGACATGAACAGTTAACTTTTTCATATATAGCCGTATGTGTGTCTGTATGTGCGAGAGAGAGATCTGTAGAATTTACATACATACTGTAGATACATCATCGTGAGCCGTGGCACTCGTGTGTTTGAAGTGGTGGTGCAGCATATGTACGTTTTAAAGGAGCTACATGGAGATTTTTTCCACTTTCATTTCAAAATTGCTAAAATTCTTAATACACGTCTTCATCAGCCGAAGCTCGTGTACAGTGAGAGCCACGTTAGCTTTACTTGATTTGTTATTAACTTCTGAGTCCCAGTCTTTTCATCTGTTGTGCCAAATATATCAGGTGGTCATTTGTTTTTGTTGCAGAAATATACAGGTCATATTCCTTCATTTCTAATGCTTGAATTGCTAGCAAATAATAATAATAATAATAATAATAATAACTAGAAAAGGCCTTTCATGAAGAAAATGTGGAGTGATCGTGCAGCTTAAGCAAATCCCAGGTGGCTGCTTAGGTGTTAATAGGTGGTTGCTATGTTATCCCAGGTGGTGGCTAGGGTGTTGCTAACCAGTTGCTCTGATATTTCTGGTGGTTGTTAGGGTGTTGCAAACCAGTTGGTATGCTATTTGTGGTGGTTGCTAGGGTATCCAAAGTGGTTTCTAAAGTGTTGCTATGGGTTACGATGGTAACCCACATGGATGCTAGGATGTTTTCCATTTCTAACAACTGAATTGAAACCTGGTTAGGCTATGACTCATATTCACAGTCAGTGACATATCTAGAATTTCTTGAAGGTACCACTAAATTGGTTCCACCCATTGTAAACGTAAAAAAGTGTGACTGGTTGTTTTTTCTGTCACTCCCTAATTACATTAGTAGTTAATCTAACATGCAAGGCCTTCAGTCTAGCTCCTGAAGCCCTAACCAATGGGAAAGCTCGCTTGGCTGTGTCTACATAGATACCACAGAGAGAACAATCCTGATTGGATCACTAGATTTCTCATGATGGTTCTTTTCTACTACTATTATTATTATTATTTTTATTATTATTAAATGACATCTAGGATTGTAAGTAGTCTCTCCTCTAAATCCTAACACAGAAATTACTGTAAGTAACATTTTTTTCATCTTTCTCATTCAGGGCATCTCCCCCCAAATAAAAAACTCTCACATGAAAATTAACCCTCTTACATGTAGCTCCTTTCAAGACTTTCTATGCCTTTACGCGTCTTTTCCTCCCTGTACCTGGAGTTTCATCACTTCTGCGTGCCATTCCTTTTGGTAATATGCTGCATTGTTACGGACTACCTGTAATAAATAGAGTGCACGTTTTTCTTGCACCTAAAAGACACAAAATGTCATGTAGATTAACAAATTCTATCAACAGAGACACTTTATTTGTGGGTAAACATTTATTAACAGTAGTAAAAAAAAAACCTCATTTAAATTCCCTTTGTGTACATTTGTGTTTATTGCAATTTACAGATCAGCCATCACTTTTCACTGAATATTGTTGTATCATGAAGGCATGTTAGACAGCTTTGAAACTTGGCCCAGTTCTGTGCCCCAGTTTTTGTTGAATGGCCTTAATTGGAAGCGTACAGTACAGGACGCCGCTGCTTTCTACCCATTGATATTCAGTAAGGGACAGTGATCCGCTGCTCTCCTGACATTTGGCTTGACTGATCGTCTCCGATCATCTTATCAGATAACCAGCCTGAGTGACGGAATGCTCAGCTGTGCAATCGCACCTCACTGCCTCATCTTCTCCTGCTCCTGTGTCTTTAGTAGGGATGCATCCATACCGATACTGGTATTGAGTATCGGGTCGACATCGTGCTCATTAACTCATACTCATCAAAATTCACTGATACCTACATTCCTATATCAGCTGAGACGTAAGCCGAGTGTAGCTGCCGCACTGTGAGCAAATGACATAAGCTGGCAGTGAAGGAGGCTCAGCTCAAGTCACTGGTCACTTTAAGGCCCGAAACATACTTTGACACAAGGACGCGAACGCACATGACAGGGCTTGTTTAACGCACTGCAAACTCTCAGTCCTTCTGTACAAACTCACCATGCGTTACTACAATGCTGTGGCTTGAAAACACTCTGAAGTACTGAAGGGGGCAATAGAGGACAAATCAGAGAGGGATCTAATGTTATTCCAATAGCCTCAACAGCTAAATGTGGACAGTAGAGGAGAGTGAGCTGCTTAACCTCTTCTTTTGGAATGGAAATGCGATAATTAATCATATTTTTATGCCATCTTTGCCTGAGACTCAACTGCTCGTCTGCTATAGGAGTTGAGAAGCATGCTTGTGGTGCAAGACCACTTGGTCAGGCTTGGCTGTCATTACAGCACCCCTTGCTGTAATGCTCATATTGCAGCTTGCGCTTGCGTCACGTTATGAAATGTGTTGTAACACATTTTTCAACGCAACTACGCGCAAAACCCTGTCTGCGTAGCTCGAAGCGTCTGCGTTTGCGTACTTGCGTGAAGTATGTTTTGGGCCTAAACATTCTGCCCTGGCAGATTCCCACCAGACCTACACTGTGAGCCCGTTTTAAACAGTCAATCAGAACCACTTCCCCAATACGGATGGAGACACGAAGGCTAGAAAAACGGAAGCAAAAGAGTCGACATTTTCTACTAAAGTCCAACTAAGCTGACTTTACTCTCTTTGACTGAATAGAATTACGAGGTAGAAACGTTAATACGGTGATTTGTTATGTAAAACAGGCTGTAGAGAGACCGTATTGTCCTACCAAGTACATCACCGCTTGCTTTAGCTTCAGTGCTCAGTGTTAGCAGCGCTGCGCAGTTTCTCTTTACTCAGTACTCAGGGTGTTACTTTGAATGAAGAAGCTCTATTTGAAGTTGTTCACGAACAGAGCACTTCACGCAGCATGGACGGAGTGTCTTTACACAGTGTGAGAATATAAATCATAGCTTTGTCCGAACACGATGGACCACTCAGATGTACGGTGTGAGTCGCCGAAGAACAAGATTTCTAAAATCACACAGTGTCTGTCTGGCTTTAGTGGACATTCAGCTACAGCTCAGCCAGCCAATCAGAAGACTTCACATGTAAAACTCGACACGTGAGCTCTTTGGATGCATTAGCCTCGGATGTGATTCCTGCCGTTGCTGTGCTGTTGCTAAAAGAGACAGATGAGGATCAAAACTATGAAACCCACTTTACTTACAGCTGTACAGGAATGCTTTACTGACGAGGAACAAAACCCGCTCCTCTCCACTGCAGCGGTACTCGATCCGAGCTAACTAATGTAGCATAGCTAGCTAGTTCACATCATTTAAAATCAGCTAGATTTTAGTGATATAACTGTTATGGTACACTACACTCATTTACAGTAACAACTACATCACTCAGTATGGAATCAGACTTGGTATTGATGAGTACTTCTTCACAGAGTCTTTCAATGCCAGTGACCAAAATTAGGCATCTGGGTGCAGCCTAATAGAGTAAAGTGAGAAGGGAGGGAGAGGGGCTTATGCTACAAGCCCACCCACGTTTAATTAACTGGGCTTTTTTTTCTCAATACTGAAAAAGTCTATGTATAGTAAAAGTCTATGTCTCAAAACATGATATCTATTTTTTTTCCTCTTTAAAAATAATCTGAAATTTGTCGACTTATGTGAACATTAACACAGCTGTAAAAGGAAAACAGGTGCTTCGGCAATCAGAGGTAAGTAGTTCGGGTCCAGAAAGTAAAAAGTCAGTTAAGGCACATGTGTCAGGCTCCAGTCCTCGCGGGCCAAAACAGTTCAGCACTGCAGACTTCAACACACTGCCTTGTTAAACACACCTGATTCAGCTCATCAGCTAATTAGCAAGGCCTTCATGAACTGAACTTAGAGCAGTAAATGAGGGTAAATGCTAATCTCTGCAGCACTTTGGCCTGGAGGGTCTCCAGTTTGACATGCCTGGTTTCAGGGGAGTCGGGCCACTTCCTGTTCCTCCCAATAGGCCAAAACATGCCTACAAAACACTAGAGGGTGCTAGAGAGAGTCCTCAATGAATGGGAGTGGATGGAGCTCAACTGCTAAAGATTTTCCTCAGTGGATGCAAATGAATCAAGCTAAATGACAAGATGTTCCTGTCTTAGCAGCTTTAAATCTTCACTAAATTACTACTATAATAAAACTACAAAACTCTTAATAAAATAAATGATTCCAAAGTTTTGAATGGTACTGTTTGTGTGTTTTATGTCTTGGACACATATAGCTAGACATGTTCATTAATAATAATATTTTAATTCAAACGTACTTTCAGTATTAAGATACTATTATTAAATAAATGATTAGTAAATATGGATGGCAGCTCTACTGACTACTGCACTATGTAAATGCTAGATAGTATTTGAGATATCTAATACTATATATAAAGCTATATATATATATATATATATATATATATATAGACCTTTTTAGATTAACATGTTCATTCTCTGGCTGGAGGATCCTAGCTGAGAAAAATCCACCATTTTCAAATAACTTGGACTGACCAACATTCAAGAAAGGATTGAAATGAATTTCACATGTATGCACACCATGTTCTGACAATTCACGCCTACACTTAATCAGTTGCTTTACCTGCACTTCATTTAACAATATTCGTTTCTGCAGCTGAATTTAAACCGACTTGTTATTTGTACTGTTGGGATCTTAGGCTACGTTCACATTACAAGCCTCGTCGCTCAAATCCGATCTCTCTGACACGATGGTTCACACTCATTTAGGTAAGTGACTCAAATCTGTCATTAATGTGAATGAACCAGCGTCCTGAAACGACCCACATGAGCACATCCTACTCAGTAACGTGACGTGAATGAATCACGTGCATCATCAGCAAACAGACTAACGAGCAGAACGAGCTTCGCTGAGAAGATAATTAACTCTGATCAGCTCTCAGCTTCATTATTAGAGCGAGACGAAGGAGAAAAAGGTGAGATGAGCTGCTTTTCCATCTTTTACAGGCATTAACTTCTGTTCAGCGCTGCTGCCATGGTAACGCTGAATGATGGCGCA